CCAAGGCAAACTCCACACTCTGTCTTCTGAACTCGCACAGCAGTTACCCTCAACTGAAACCTACCTATGTGCTGCTTCACAAATAGGATTTGGGTCTTTTGCACCTTTGCACCCTCCACCAGGCCTATGCAGAGCCACATGACTAGCAGACTTCACTAAATATTATGACTGATTGGTAAGTGGGTAGATGAAAGACAGGAAACTGAGAGGCTAGTGATTATACTCCAGCAGTATGTCTATGTTTTAAGAATGATTTGACATTCAGAATAGGCAAAGCAGCACTGCCTGCTTAATTCCCTTCAAAAAGTCACCTCCTTGGCCTGCAGCATGGAGCAAGATGACTCACTCCAGTTCCTCTGCCAGTCTTAAGAGGAAATTCCTAGTCCTGCATACTCCACACAAGTCAATAGAAACTTGGCAGGGCAGGCAGCATGCTGGGAAAAGGAGGCAGCAGTTCCGGGCTGAGAAGTGGTGGCGGGATTTTTTGTTTCCATCGTGCAACCAACTTTCATTGAGCAATGACATTAGTGCAGGATGGAGGAGGAAGAATGAGACAGAAGGAGCTGCATTTGGTGTGGAAAAAACACAGAAAGGGTGGAACTTAAGCAACTTTGTGTTGAAAGTTGGGTCCATCCATACCTGAAATAGGCCCCTATGGACCCTGAACTGGGCCGTGGCCTGGACAGTGTCATGCAGTCCTGCCACTCACCAGCTGGGGTCTTTTATCAATACACTTAATCTCTAAACCTCAATTTTCTGGCATGGAAAATGGAGTCAAAACTGCCAGACTTCCCTCCCAGAGTTGCTATGAGTATCAGATAGTGAGCAAGCCCTCATATAAATGTGCCTCCTGGTATTAGTCACCAGCAAGACCTAGTATTTTTGGCCTTTCCTTTCCTCTAAAGCTGAAATATGCTTCTTCCAAGGCCTATGCAGCCACACTGGTCCAATAAAGGACAAGGGGCCTAAAGATATTAAATATTTCATTAGAACTTCTCAAACGAGTAAGATTACTAGCTTTTCCCTCCCCAGGTTCCGGGTCTATTAAAAACTGGCTCAAATGTCTCCCACTGGGAGAGCGGAGGTGCGGCCTTGCCCGAGGCTTCCAGGGATGAGCTGGCTTCCCTTCCAACCTCCTCTTCAGACAACTCTGCCCATTCAGCGGTTCCTAATCCAAAAAGAAAGGACTCCCCAGAGCATGCCGGCTTCCTTACAGGTCACCGCTAATGTCCTGTGACAGGCCCTTGGCCCACCCTCCCGGGCTGGCCGGACCATCCTCGAAGCGGTCCATCCCTCGGAGCCGAGTCCTCCGCGGCCATTAACAAAGAGGGTCTGGGGACTGCCTCGCCACTATGGGGCCGGGGCGGGGGCAGCCCGCGCCGCCGGCGGAGGACACGGGGCCTGGGCCGGGCAAGGGGCCCGGCCAGGAGGGCACGAGGGAGCCCGGCTCGGGGTGCAGGGGTCGCAGCCGGGCCGCCGGGGTTGGGGGGCTGGGGTTACCCACCTTCTGCTCGACTCCCTGCAAGCCCTGACCCAGCTCCTCCCTCTGCCGGGAGAAGTCCTGGTGGCTGCGCCGGATCTGCTGGACCTCCTCCAGGACGTGGTGGACACACCAGCCGGAGAAGGCGGCCGCCGCCACCAGGGCGAGGTAGAAGA